GCCCCCTCACCTGCCTGCGCCCCCTCACCTGCCTGCGCTCCCTGCGCGTCAGCGTGTGGCCGTGCAGGATGCGCCAGAGCATGCGCGCGGCGATCTTGGTGTCGATCCAGAGTAGGCGGAAGCCGTGGTAGTAGTGCTTCAGCTCGTCCAGCACCCGCTGCCCCAGGGACTTCTTCACGGCCACCTGCACCGGGGGGCTGTACACGGGGCCGCCCTCCTCCAGCTTCTTGTTCTTGTCCTTCAGGGACTTGAGGGACTTCTCCACGATGGAGTCGTCCCACAGTGGAGGGGACGAGTGCCAGCAGCGCACAGGGAGGGACCTGGGGCCTGAGAAAACCAGGCTGGTGGAGACGGAGGTCCATGGCGCCCTCAGCCCTGCTCGCGTGTGCTCCGGCCTGAGGGTCCAACAGCTGAACCGGTCACTTCCGAGGGCGACGTAGATCGGGTGGGCAGGACAGCATCCGCACTTGACACGCCTTTGAGAAAGAGGCCAGGGGAGAGGAGTGAGAGCCGGCAGTTCCTCTGCAGCAAAACTACAGCAGACAGAGCCAGGCCCGAACCCCAACCAGGCCCCAGCACCCCACACGGGACCCCACCATGCGAGATCTCTCGTCCTGCAGCCAGTCACCCCTTCCCACCAGTCTCACCAGTCTCAGCTCAGATGTCTCCAACTGGTGTCCTCTAAATTAGAACCCAGTTCGTGGGCGGCGGGCCACTGGGAGCAGCAAGGGGCCCCAGCATCCCACGCGGGGACCCCACCATACATCTCACACCCTGCAGCTGGAGTCACCCCTTCCCGCAAGTCTCCAGTCAGTCTCCTCTGAATTAGAACCCAGCTCCTGGGCGTACCCCGGGAGCAGCAAGGGGCCGGCTGAGTACGCCCCCACAGATCCTGGCCAGGACAGTCGGTCACTCAGCGCCCACCGGCTGCAGCTGTGCACCCTGCCTCCAACCAGCTCATACACAGGACCGAGCGGGGCCCACCCGGCACCCACCAGCCACCAACACCAGAGGAACCCGAGTGAGCAGGTATGAGCCCTGAGCCCTGGCCCCGTACCCTGGCCAGTGCAAGCACATCTGACGCAGGCCATACTGTGGGAGGGGGACAGTTCCCCTCCACTGGCCCCACCTTGTCCATTAACTGCTCGTTACTGTCAGAGAACAGAATGGGCACTCCCAAGGAGACCTAAGACAAGGTTTCCTGAGAGGAGACAGAGAACAGCTCTATTGGAAATGACAATGCTAGGGAGAAAACGGCCTTGTTCTCCCTGTCCCCTGACGCCGACGTCCCTCAGGTCAGCCTGCGACCAGCAGCACAGGCAGTCTGCACCTGGCACGGTGCTGGCTCAAGACAGGCCTCCTGGCTCGGGGCTGGTTCCCTCCGTGTCTTCTGTCCTTCAGACTGAAGGGAGGTGAGCGGGAGGCCGAGTACAGCCGTGCTGGTCGAGGAGCAAGGGTCCCCCGCCTCGCCTGGGGATCCCCCGCCTCGCCTGCCTCCCCCCCACCTCACCTGGGACTCCCCTGCCGCGCGCCACCAAGTGCGCCTCGCCTCAGCCAAGCCCACAGAAGGCAGACTCCCCGAGCATTTCTGATGTCTGAAAACTCCAGTGATGTTAAAACCCCTGCCCCTGCCCCAGTGAGGTCCCCAGGCTCTGAAGAAGTTTGCTACGTGGCTCTGGTATGTTCAGTGAGGGGGGGACACTCTGTTGCTTGGGCTGAGAGCTCCTCTCTCCTATCAGACTCTCCATAGAGACCTGCGGTCCCAAGGGTGGTCCTGAAAACGTCTGAGGGTGCCAGTTTTCTCGAGGTGCCGGAGCACCCCCCACTCAGATCCACGGTGAGTGCCAAGTGATGCCGACGCTGGGGAGTCCAGACGCTGGGGAGTCCAGACCGGCCTTCCTGAAAACTGAGCCGCAGAAGAGCGTGTCTGCTCAGGACCAGGAGGAAAAGCGCCCCTCAAGGAGCCTCGGGCAAAGCCCTCAGGAAGGACCCGCCCCCAGAGGAACACACTGCGGTGGGGGTGCGAAGGGCCTGGACACTGAAACCAGCAGGCGGCCTCCTCCACAAAACAAGGGCCAATTCTTTGTCCATGGCAGGAGGAGTGGGGGGCAGCCTCCCCTAGCTCTGTGAGGCTCCCAGTGTCATCTGAGCTAAGGACTGAGAAGGGGAGATCAGTGGACTTGGGCATGGCATGAATCACTGGCCAAAACCGGGAAATGACAATCCAGGACGAAAGCACTTGATACAGCTATATTTTTCCTCTTTCAATTAGAGGTTGAGGGACACTGTTAAAAATTCTTTCCGTTTCCACTTGCATCCACATGCCTGTGTGACTCGGGATATGTGACCAAACTACAAATTAAAACTTGCTTTGGTGAGCCTGATACTTGGCTTCATTCAACACTCATCTGGGACTCCAGACTTGAAGGGCTGCAGTTCATAAAAACAGCATCAAATCTCTCATTGATTAACTTTCTGAGGAAATATTAAAACTGGCGTATTGATAAAAAAGTTCTGCTACTATATGCAGATGATATGACAGCATACTTAGAAAACCCTAAAGACTCAGCAAGAAAACAACTGGACATAGTTGACCAATTCAGCAAACTGGCAGGATACAAGGTCGACCAACATATAAAAACCAATTGGAAAACAACTATGAGATATCATCTCACCCCGGTAAGAAGAGCAAAATTTGACAGAACAGCAAGCAACAAATGCTGGCGAGGTTGTGGAGAAATGAGAACCCTTATTCACTGTTGGTGGGAGTGTAAAATGGTGCAAGCACTGTGAAAGGTGGTCTGGCGCTTTCTCAAATAGAGATACCATTTGACCCAGCAATTCCACTACTAGGAATATACCCTAAGAAAACCATAACCGCCACCCAAGCAGGTATATGCACACCCATGTTCTGTGCTGTTTTATTCACAGTAGCATGGACTTGGAAACAACTTAAGAGTCCATCAACAAACGAATGGATAAACTGTGGTATATTCACACATTGGAATACTATGCTGCATTGAAAACCAAGGAACTCATGAATTATTATACAAAATGGGTGACCCCGAAGGACATTATGCTGAGTGAAGTATCTCAGTCACAATGGGACAAATACTACATGGTGCCACTATTGTAAAACAGGACTGACATCAGGGTTGGGGGGAGACTGAGAAAGATGAAAACTGTTTAAAAGGGATATGTGATTAGGTATTACTGTCATGACAGAAGTCCAGAATGAAGGCTGCATAGTGGAGTAGACCTGGGGGTAGGTATTGTAAAACAATGGGGGAACTTTTCTTTTACTTTTCAAAGAGGGGGGAGCAGAGAGAAAAGTGCAACAGTGAATGAATGGAAATACAAAGTCTCTGTAAACTTTCATTAAAATTAATTAAAAATGATAAAAAAAATCAATTGGATTTTTCTACAGTGACAAAGAAAATACAGAACCGGAGTTAAAAAACCCCAATACTCATCACAATAGCAAATCACAAGATTAAATATTTGGGAGTAAATTTATCTAGAAACAAAAAGGATCGATTCAAAGAAAATTACAGAACATTATTAAAAGAAACAAAAAGAGACCTGGAGAAGTGGAAAAATATCCCTTGCTCATGGATAGGAACACTCAATATTATGAAAATGGTAATACCACCAAAGGCAACTTACACATTCAATGCAATCCCAATACAAGTACCAATTCCATTCTTCAACAAGATGGAAAAGGCAATCTCCAATTTCATTTGGAATGGAAAGAGACCTCAAATAAGCAAAGCACTCCTTAAAAAGAGAAACAAGGTAGGAGGCATCTCACTCCCTGATTTCAAATCCTACTACACTGCCATGGTGGTCAAGATAAGTGTGGTACTGGTACAATGACAAACACACATATCAATGGATTAAAATTGAGAACCCAGAAATCAGCCCATCTACGTATGGTCAACTGATTTTTGACAAGGAGATGAAATCAGTTAAGTAGGGAAATGAAAGCCTCTTTAACAAATGGTGTTGGCAAAATTGGAAAACTATCTGCAGAAAACTCAAGCAAGACCCACATCTCACACCATACCAAAACACCAACTCAAAGTGGATCAAGGACCTAGGACTAAAACCAAGGACTATAAACTTCATCAGAGAAAAACTTGGAAGAATTAGAAGCCCTAATCCACAACATGAATAGTTTCCCAAGCATCCTGAGAAACCTACAACCAGGAAAGAATAAAACAAATAGGACTTTCTAAGAATCAAATCCCTATGCACCTCCAAAAACTATGCAACAGGGTAAAAAGAAAAGCCACAGAAAAAATATTTGATAATAACATGTCTGATAAGCAACTTCTATCTATAATTTATGGAATACTCCAGCACCTCAACCAGATAAACAACCCAATTGCAAAGTGGGCACAGGATATGAACAGACACTTCATCAAAGACGACATTCAGATGACGAACAAACACATGAAGAAATGTTCAAAATCCCTAGCTCTAAAAGAGAACCAAATCAAAACATCTCACCCCAGTAATAATAGCAAAGTTCAACAGAGCAGCAAACAACAAATACTGGTAAAGTTGTGGAGAAACAAGAACCTTTATTCATTGTTGGTGGGAGTGTAAAACAGAGCAAGCACTCTGGAAGGCAGTATGGTGCTTTCTCAAAAAGATGCAAATAGAAATATCATTTAACCCAGCAATTTCACTACTGGGAATACACTCTAAAGAAACCAGAACCGCCATCCAACCACATATATGCACACTCGTGTTTATTGCTGCTTTGTTCACAATAGCAAAGGGATGGAAACAACCCAAGTGCCCATCAACAAATGAATGGATAGAGAAGCTGTGGTATATTCACACATGGAATACTATGCAGCACTGAAATACACGGAACTCATGAAATATACAAAATGGGTGACCCTGAAGGACATTATGCTGAGTGAAATATCTGTCACAAAAGGATGAATACTGCACAGTGCCACTGTTCTAAAACAGGACTGACGTCGGAGTTGGAGGGTAACTAAGAAAAGAGGGGATAAATAATGTACACTGCATGGAAATAGAGGGGAAGAACTGCTTAAAAGGAATATAAAATTAGGTATTATTCGTATGATAACAGTCCAGAATAAGAGCTGCATAGTAAAGTGGACTTGGGGGAGGGAGAGATTGTACAACAATGAGAGAATTTTTTTTTCAAAGAGAAAAGAGAATTGGGGGGGGGGCAAGGAGAAAAATGTGCAGCAATGAATGAATGGAAATTCAAGTTCCCTATAAACTTTCATTAAAATCTCAATTAAAAGGGGAACTCTGGTGGCCTAGAGGCAAGAAGCTGTACTGGAATCCCAGAGGTGCACGGTTCAAATCCACCAGATGCTCTGCCGGGAAAGGAGGGACAATCTCCTCCTGTACCAGTCAGATCTGATTTGACG